TGTGTGCATCGGAGCGTAACTCCGCTGTACGTGATACAGAGAGCGCGACCATAACGTAGAGACCGAAATGACATGCCGTTGTGTAAATATGATAAATAATATAAGGCTATTTAGTTTGTTTAATAAAAGAACAAGGTATAGACCTGAAAGGTAATTTTAAATGACTTCTGTTGTGATCTGGCGCTATAGAGAAAATATAATTAAATAAAATTAACTTGACCTTCAAAGGGGGTGGGCCCCTAATATAATGGCAGGGGAAACACTGGAACTCATGTTATTATTTTCCGTGTCGTGATGATGTTCATATCTGTCTGTGTCTCAGGTGCGGTTCGGCTGCAGATGCCGCTGCTCTTGCCCAGGAACAGACGTCTGTATGACGGATGTGAGACGGCCTGTTTTATGGATCACAGCGGCATGCTGGTCTCTCTGCCGTACGATCTGAGGGTGAGATGAATCATTACTCGTGCCAAACTAATGAACCAGTCAGAATAAGAAGACATGCATGCATAATATGCATAAATGTGACCCTGGAGCACAAAACCAGTCACAAGGGTCAATTTTTTAAAATTGAGATGTATGCATCATCTGAAGCTGAATAAATAATCTTTCCATTGATGTATGGTTTGTTAGGATAGGACAATATTTGAAAATCTGGAATCTGAGGGTGCAAAAAAATCTAAATATTGAGAAAATCATCTTTAAAGTTGTTCAAATTAAGTTCTTAGCAATGCATATTATTAATCAAAAATTAAGTTTTGATATATGTACGGTAGGAAATTTACAAAATATCTTCATGGAACATGATCTTTACTTAATATCCTAATGATTTTTGGCATAAAAGAAAAATGTATCATTCTGACCCATACAATGTATCGTTGGCTATTGCTACAAATATACCCCAGCGACTTAAGACTGCTTTTGTGCTGCAGGGTCACAGATATGGTCTAAATTGTGTGTTTTGTCTTATTGTCTCTCTTCAGCTGGCGTTTGCCAGATTTGTGGCCAGAAACAACATTTCACATCTCAAAAGGTACTTTGTAGTTAGTGCATTATTTTCAAACATTTCATACCCCGAACAAAAACTTCTGTAGTTCCCATATTTTGGCCTGTTTTTTGTGTATAGTACATAGTCGACTCATTATAATATATGCTATTGATCAAAAGTGTTTGAAAGAAGTCTCTTTGGTGCACCGAGCCTGCATTTATTTGATCGAAAATACAGTAAAATTTGTGAAATATTATTACAATGTAAAACAGCTATTTTCTCTGTGAATATCTGTTAAACTGTAATTTATTTATGTGATCAAAGCTGTATTTTCAGCATCATTACTCCAGTCTTCAGTGTCACATGATCTTCAGAAATCATTCTAATATGCTGATTTGCTGCTCAAGAAACATTTCTGATTATTATCAATGTTGAACACAGTTTTGCTGCACAATATTTCTGTGGAAACCGTGATACACGTTCAGTACTTTTTTTAAAGAAATGAATACTTGTATTCCTCAAGGATGCATTAAACTGATCAAAAGTGGCAGTAAAGACATTTATAATGACACAGAAGATTTCTATTTCAAATAAATGCTGTTCTTTTGAACTTCGTCTGTGAATCATCTGTGAATCCTGAAAAATAAAATGCAACACGGTTTCCACAAAAATATTAGTACTGTATTTTTATCAAATAAATGCAGCCTTGGTGAGCAGAAGAGAAACATAAATAAATTTTAACCAGTAATGCACATGAAGCTTCATCTGTAATGACTAGTCCAGTGCATGTATACTGCTGTCCTGACGTGATGAGTTTGTTTCTGCAGGTACAGTATCGAGCACGTCTACAGGCCGAGGAAGCTGGATCGAGCTCATCCCAGAGAGCTGCTGGAGTGTGCCTTCGACATCGTGATTCCCATCAGCAACAGTCTGCTGCCGGACGCCGAGGCCATTTACACCGTCTCTGAGGTCGTACAGGAGTTCAGCGCGCTGCAGGTACCACACCACTTCACCACGTCATTATTAGGGCTGGGTAAAAATATTGATATCTCGATTTTAATCCATTCTCATTTTTACGAGACGATATCGATTCGTAAATCCCAAGAATGGATTAGTCTAGCCTGTTTTCAGTTAATGAACGGAACATTGTAGCGCACCTCGCATCCAATAAATCGCTCTAAGCTTTGTGCTTTGTTACTTTTAATATGAAACAAAGTCTCAGATTTCAAATTCTGTGCATTGTACTGCAGTATTTAAACAATAAATGCTGTTTAATGTGGAGTGACAGATCGCTGTAGCGCCTCAGTGAACTGATCATCTCCTCCACTTTATTACTAGTTATAGCACAAAATAAACATGAATGAACATCCGAAGGTAAGTTAAAAGAAAGAGTACAACTTTACAATCCGTATCCTGTCTCATGTATTCGCTCAATCAGTGTTTCAGTCGCGCAAAGACCTCAATATAACGACTTGTAAACAATATCACGTAACGTCACATTTACCTCAGAAAAAACCTATTCGGTGACCATAAACTCTTTAGTCAGATAGAAAAATAAACTGTAGAGAGGGGTATTTTGCTAAATATATGCACCATATAACATATTC